GTGTGTGTGTGTGTGTGTGTGTGTGTGTGTGTGTGTGTGTGTTGTTGTCCATCATCATCATAAAGCCTAAGTGGTACTCACTCGTTCAGGAGGCTTGTTGAGTTCATCATCGGGTGGAGGAGTGGGTGTTTTCTCTTGGGGAGGGGGCAAAACAGAGTCGCTGCTGCTCCTCACCAACAGAGGTGTATCTATGCACAAGACAATAAGCGTCAAATTAATTTTCTAATAACTTGAGCTGACAAAATTCAGAATTTATAAACAGTGCAAAAGGGGCTTAAATAACTAAGATTAAAAGAAATATCAAAGCAATCAGACAAACACAAAGTAAAAAGCAAACCCAAAGAAACAGTCACTGTGCAAAAACTATGAGTGCTGAAATAATGGAATCAGCTGAATTTACCAGCCCCCTTTTTTGTCCCTTTTTTCTGATGTGCGTCTCAAAGCAGCTGGTTTTGATCCTGTTCCTTTAAGGCGCTTCATGCCCCGCCCCCCTCTCGCTTCCAGACCGGTCTATTCCGATTTTGATGCATCAACCCATTTAGTGACTTTTCTTGCACCTAGATGCAGCCACACACCAAACTGGAATTTGGCATGTTGTTTGTTTTTCAAGTTATCCATCTCATAACAAGGATGGACATTTATGGTGATAGCCTTGTCTTGGATTTTGATGTGGCAACCCAAATTTCATTTAGTAGATTAATGGTACCTCACAAGATGGTACTTCACTTATCTTTCAAGTTTTCCAGTTCACAAGGTTTATACAGGGTACATAGATGGCTATTGCCATGTAGGCGTGGCCATCCTAGATTTTCTCATAGCAACCAAATATTTTATAGGGACTTTTTTTAAGCCTAGATGGAGCCACAAAATAAAATATAAGTCAGTACCTCACTTATTTTCCATGTTATCAAGCTCACAAGACAAACAGATGGACAGAAAGGAAGGATATTTTCATGTCCCCTCTTTGCTCCATGACAAGGGACAAATCAATCCATTCAATCATATGAAGTCAAACTTTCTTTGTATTTTGGTCAAAGTAATTAAATAATAAAGGATCTGATAAGAATTATAGAAATATGTGGCATGGAACAACTCTTTTTCCATCATTGTATTTCTGGCAGACTCCAGCCCAGCCGCTGCCTCCACAGCCTTCAACACAACCTTTTCCAAAAGAAAATCAGAGCTGAATAAAGCCAAGCTTAAGTGAGCAGGTTTAAAGCCACAAAAAAGCATCACAATAAAAGTTAATTAGATTCATGGGGTGGATCTTACTTTTGTTTTCCACCCCAAAGCAAAGTTTAGTTCACTGAGAAATAAAAGAAAAGGATAAGAGACAGAAAAATGGTAACGCATGATAAACAAAAAACTAGAAGCAACAGTGGAGGTGAGCAAAGCCAAGAAAACTGAGACACAAAAAAGGGAAAGCACACAAAATTCTCCTCTTTTCCTGTCATCAATCTCTCTTTGGAGGGTCAGCGACAGGGTCCCGGTTTAACGTGGTCAGAATAAAAAGAGCAGAGGGGGAAAACAAGTGGGAAAGAAAGAAGTAGCAAGGGTCAGCGAGTGTGTGTGTGTTTGTGGTTAGTGACTGTAGACAAATGAAAAATGGTCATTCCAACTACTCCTGACACAGACACAAAGATCCTTTCTGTCCCAAACCAACTAAACCACATGTTCTGAGGTTCAGACATGTTTGTCTAATCATTCCTATCAATTATCATAAAGCTATTAGGTGTATGCATGTGAATCAGGTACCAATCCAGGTCTCAATGTCTGATCATACCTCCAATGGATTTCAATCAACGCTAATGTGCCAAAACTTAAACAAGAGGTAAAAAACTGAATGTAGAAGAGCAGAACGTGTGAAAAAACTCACAAGAAGCTTCAGTGTCAATTATATTATTTGTAAACAATGTAGTGCTTTGATTTAACACAGAAATATCCAGAAATAAACTGCATCTCTCAGCACTATATTTAAAAAAGATCAAAGAAATCAAGGATTGATGTTTTATCCTTGTTTTTTTTTTTTCTTTTTTGTGTGTTGCTATCTGTTGATCTGGTGTGCATCTAAACTAGGTCAAGATTTCTGTAGCTACTTATCAGCATCATTAAAAAGCTCCTCATTGAAGATGTTCGCAAACCAAACAGTGATGTTAACACGACAGTATGCAAATTTACATTTCGCTCGACTTTGATGCTACATTAGATACAAGGCAAGCATGAAAACATGACAGGGGTAAAAACCTTGATTCACATTTAACAGGTAAAGGTTTTCACTGATTAACTGTAAACCATAGACATATCCACATCAACATTGGTATCGGCTGATATTGGTCATTTTTACCTCCGCCAAGGAAGTAATGTATTTGGTCGCGTATGTCAGTCTGTCTGTCGGTCGGTCGGTCTGTCTGTGGACAGCATTACTCCAAAATGTGTGGACGGATTGTCATGACATTTATAACACATGTGGATACTAGCACAAGTAACACACCATTAAATTTTGGTGATGTTTCGGATCCCGATGCGGATACAGGATTTCTTTTTCCTTTTAATCCGCACAGCTGATTGTACAACAGAGTGGCCACCTGAGCAGACGATGGCAAACGGAGATCAGTAAAACTATTCCCAATAACCCCGGGTGGGCGACTAAAAAAAACAGTGGCGCTTATTAAAAATTAAACATTCACAAAATAAGAAATGCCTTGGCCCTATTACTGCCGCATGAATTTGATCTCTGTTCGTCTCTAGCATCCCGAGAGACGCGCAGTGCAGCGGGTCTAATGGGCCGAGTGACTTCAATCAGAAAACTTCTCCCATAAAGCTCAGCCTGACAACAAATCAGCTCTGTGGTGCTTACGAACAACTCAGAAGAGGAATTTGAAAAGTCTTCCAGCTAGATCTAACAGAGATGTGCAGTGCTCCAGCTCGTCATTTCACTGTGGAACATCACCTGTCAGTCACCAGGGGCACAACAAGTGGGGGTGGCCACAGGGGGCTGTGCCCCACCAGTTTTATCCTCTTGACTCCCAAACTTTGTGCTTATTTAAATCTTTCTCAGCTATATTAGATTAGTAGTACCATATAAAAATAGAAAAAAATTAACTGTGATTTAAAAATATGAATATATGTTTTACTTAAAATAAAATATAAACTTAAATAGTTCATCTGACTAAAAGATAACTAGTATAAAATAAATGTCCTCAATATCAGGATGAAGCTTTTCATGAGGTTAGAGGCATTAAATAAATCAATACTTTTTAAAGCTAGCTGGACTTCTATTTTGAAACTGTAGATGTTTTTAACTTATTAGCCAAATGTGTTTCCATCTCTGCTTTTGTGCATTAACTCCATTACAGGATGGGGCAAATTGGTCTCGGCGGAGGCTTGCACTCTCCGAGTGCTTCTAGTTTAGAATATCTTATCGGTCCGTTATGTAAAACTGGGTTGATATTAACGTGCGATATTGATTTCCCACTTTCTATATTTGTGTTTCTGTTTTGGGAGGGGAAATGGTTGGTCAAGTTGTATCCGTTTGACCATGATAGTGATACTGAAACTGTGCAGCCAGGGATAACTGAAGTAGAGAGCCATGTCAGCTGTCTGGTCATTTATTTATGGTATCAAAAAAAGACTCAAGTGTGTTTGTGCATGTATGTATGGAAATAATCTATGTGTTAGCGTAATATTGATAAATATCGGTTATCGGCCATAATAGCAATAATTATATCCAGTATCGATATTGGATGAAATTTTCATTTCGGTGCATCCCTAGTAAACCATATTTTAAATTTGACTAAAATTTAACACAAGTGATTCAATTTAGCTTCACATAAAAAACTGTCCAAGATGTACCTCCAGCCACTAGTGTAGCAAAAAAGTCCAGTTATTCCATAAAAAAATGATTTTTTTAAATCATGCAGGTAAGATGGCATTTCCTTTTAAAACTGAGAGACAAAGGTAAATACTAGGGCAGGACAATATATATCAAATTTATCAGCAACAACATCAACATTAGAAAGAACTGAAGTAATGCTACTGTACTGTACTGTAATATACACTCCTGATGAAAATCCTAAGACCAGTCAAAAAAGTGCAAGAATTTACATTTTGCACTATTGGATCTTAAAAAGGTTCTAAGTAGAGCTTCACAACGTTAAAGGAAAAAAATCAATGCAGGAGACAAGAACTTTTGAGCAGGGAATTTTCTGAAAACTGCATTTACACTCAAACGTGATTTTTTTCAGCTGATCAAAAGTTTAAGACCATAGTCTTTAAAAGCCAAAAGCTGTGCAAAAATCTGGATTCCATGTCATTTTCTGTCAAGTCTTTACACTGTCAAGACCTCCTGATGGCAAAAACAAAAAAGCTCACTGACTTTGAACGTGGTAGGATTGTTGAGCTGCATAAGCAAGGCCTCTCACAACGTGCCATCGCTGCTGAAGTTGGACGCAGTAAGACAGTCATTTTGCATTTTTTAAATGATCCTGAGGGTTATGGAACAAAAAAAGTCAAGTGGTAGACCCAAAAAAATTTCACCAGCTCTGAGCCACAGGATTCAATTGGCTGTCCGTCAAGACACGGGACGATCCTCTACCCAAATTAAGGCCATTACTGGTGCTGACTGCATCCCAATAACCATCAGACGGCATCTGTGAGAGAAGGGCTTCAGAAACAAAAAACGTCTTCAAAGCCCACGTCTTCTTCAACGCCACAAAACTGCCCGTTTGGACTTTGCAAGGGTGCACCAAACATGGGACATTGAAAGGTGGAARAAAGTTGTCTTCTCTGATGAGAAAAAATTTAACCTTGATGGTCCTGATGGCTTCCAACGTTACTGGCATGACAAGGAGATCCCACCTGASRTGTTTTCTACACGGCACAGTGGTGGGGGCGCCATCATGATTTGGGTGCGTTTTCCTTCAATGGAACAATGGAGCTTCAGGTTGTGCAGGGGTTGTACAGGACAATGCTGCAGTTCACAATGCCCGCCTGACAAAGGAGTTCTTCCAAGAGGATAACATCACTCTTTTGGACCATCCTGCATGTTCCCCGGATCTAAACCCAACTGAGAACATTTGGGGATGGATGGCAAGGGAAGTTTACAAAAATGGACATCAGTTCCAGACAGTGGATGGCCTTCRTGAAGCCATCTTCAACACTTGGAGCAAYGTTCCCACTAGCCTCCTGG